GTCCGAGCACGCCAACATCACTAGTTTCGACGTCGCCATTGACAGCATATGGAATCCGGACACTACTATATACAATGAGTTTGTGTGATTAAATATTCAACATGCACGCACGCGCAAGTAGGCCCTACACATGCGCACACACGTACTAACTCACCACACGCACCCAATCACAAACACATATAAACACACACGTTTACATTCATACACATGCAGGCGAGCACATATACGCATATACGCACATATACGCATGCCCAAACACACATAAACATAAATATGAAAAAAATAGAGAAGAAAAAACGAATCTTTCACCTTTAATTGATTCATGATGTAATCAAATAACGATAAAAAATTGTAATGGCGCATACACATACTGCTGGTAACCTCATTTATGATGAAATATCGTAGACTAATATGTAACGTTTCAATACAAACTTGTATTCGATACAGTTCAAATCATATGAAGAAGTAAATGAAGGTGGTTAAATATAAGCAGGTTTTTAATATTACGTGAATTACACAAATGGAAAACAAGTTAGTACACACGTATAGTGAGAAATACATATAATTGCTTTATAAAATATTAAATTGACTTTTCATTAGAATTGCATTGTTAGATTTGGAGGGGGCATTATTCCATTGTGTGTGTGTGTGTGTGTGTGTGTGTGTGTGTGTGTGTTTGTGATGGCATGCAAGTACATAGTGAAATACATCGTGTAATCAATAATTACTATTTGAAATAAACATTCAGCATTTTACTTTTTATCCATTTATTTATTTATCTATTTATTTATTTTATTATTCATCCAATCTGTTAATGCATTCTTTGAATTCAAATCATCCTCTATACTGCAGTGTACGAGAGGAGGAGAGAGATGTCAGCGGATTTCCCGCCACGGTCCACAGCGACGGCAAGGTCACGTGGGGGTATCCACTCATCCTGAAGAGCAGCTGTCTTATGGACATCAACTACTTCCCATACGACAAACAAGCCTGCCCAGTAAAATTTGGTTCCTGGCATTTCCATGGTTACCAGCTGGATCTGCGGAACAAGAGCGCGACGGGAGACCAGACGTCGTTTGTTCCAAATGGAGAGTGGCAATTAATGGCTGCTCCCGCCATACGAACATCCACTGTCTACGGGTGCTGCCCGGAACCTTACCCTGACGTCACATTTTATCTGATCATGTGTCGTAAACCTCTGTATTATCTGTACAATCTGATCTTGCCTTGTATTGTGGTTTTGTCCATGACTGCTGTGAGTTTCTACCTACCGGTGGAGTCCGGAGAGAAAGTGTCGTTTGGTGTGACTGCCGTGTTGGCCATGATGGTATTCCTACAGCTGGTCTCGGATTTAACGCCTACTCAGTCTGAAGTGGTACCAGTATTGAGTAAGTTGAGATGTCAAATCCAAGATGTCTTTAAATAGAATACAATCCGCCAATAGCTAGTCAGTCAGTTTAAGCAATATGAATATTACCCGGTGAACTTAAAATGATATGAATAAATTGTAGGGCCCTACCAGTAATTTATTTATTATTCCATTTTTTAGCATTAAGAAAAAATTGACTTGCACGAGGTAATATTTGTCCACACGCATATCTATTCTCTACTCGAAACCTAGTTCTTTCTTTGTCCCGAAAAGGTTATTATACTTCCAAGTACACACAAAAAAATTAAATTCATCGTCAATATGTTTTAAGTATTTTGCAATTGAAAAATATAACTAAATTATTTCATACTTATATTTTCAAAGTAAAAATTTAATTTTCAAAAAAACTTATATTACGACAAAAAAGGAAAAGGTCCATATACAATTCTAAACGGTATTCCATATATTTTCCACCATTGTACTGCAGGTATGTACCTGGGCATTGTTCTACTATTACTGTGTATCTCCACCATGAGCAGCATCGTAGTGTCCAACATTCACTTCAGCGGAGAACGGGGTCACGAGATGCCCAACTGGATGAGAAAGCTGGTCTTGGGGTTTTTAGGCACCATTGTCTGCAAGAGGAAAGCAATCAAAACGGCGCTTGATGAAGATGCAGAGAACGTTTTCAAATTAGAGCCTATACATGTATGATTCTGCTTCTTATACTTTCTTTAAAGTTCATATTTCTCCTCCATTATTTGCCATGCTTACTTTATTTGTCTTTATCAACAATCTGCACCTCTAGTTTTTTCAGCTGTTTTGTATCTTTAGAGAGTCCCCCCCCCCAAAAAAAAAAAAATAATAAAATAATAAACAAATACATAAAAGTTAATCTTTACCATAAAATTACATCTCGAAACTTCTTGAAAGGTTTATATTTGTAGAATGACTTAATATTATTAACTACCATAGTCATATAGATAATATATATCACTTGTAATTTCAGAGCGAAAGTCGAAATGGACGACCACGGCTTTCATCAAACGGCGACATATATGACAGTATAGCGAACGGCAGCATCTACAGCATCCGAGACAGTGAAAAACCACGATATCCAACCCACTTCAGCGACAGCAACCCTTACAGCTCACAAGACGAAATGAGCCTTCATGGCGGAAGCGGAAATCCCACCGCCAATTCCGCTGCCACCACGCGTGTGCTTCGCCAGATTTTAAGCAACCTAAAGGGCGAGGATTGCACCGGGCGTGAAAAGAAGGCCGCAGAGCGATTGAAAACGGAATGGGAGATGGTAGCCGTGGTCATAGATAGACTGGTGTTGTATACTTTCCTCATATTATCTACCGTGGCGACTATCTGGTTCTTCGCTAACACTCCCCCGTGTGATGATCAACTTCAGCGAACCAGATACAGTACGCAGTAATCTATACGAACCTATCTCCGTACTTTGCGTATCTGAGGTGTTCATAGGAATTATTTTACCAGTATTAGGTGTGTGTGTAAAGAGTTTGACGAAGGATAGTTGTACTGAATATTGGTATAAAATACTTGGGAATAATGATATAATTCTGACGACAATATATATATATATATATATATTGCTGTGTATTCAGTAACGGTCTTTTTAAGGTACTTATAACTTTTAATCCTTTTAATTCATTAAACATCTATTTTTTTATTTTTCCATTATGATTGTTTAATTTTTCGAACTCATTACAGTTATGCTTGATTTTAGATGTATTATAGCTTATCGATTTCAAAATCATTTCAAGGTTTTTGCCTCTTTAGCAGACATGTGCTACGGCACATTATATTGTGTTTTAGTCAATGTTGGTATGACAGAAAGCCCTAAGGGAGAAGCCATAGACATAGTAGAATAGGGGAATGTTTTCAGTCAAAATGCAGGGAGAAAATGATAAAGGATTACTTATCTTTTTTCATGGATAACACACCACATATCACGTCCAGGGCTCAGAATAATGATGAGCTACATATACGTATTCACAAGATTTGTAAGTTATTCAAGCATTATAAACACATCTCATTTTACTGACCATGTGGCTTTCCACAAGTATGGTAACGTTTTTTAATTATCTTAAGAGCGTAATAGGGGCTGGTCCGTCATTTAGTTTTGGAAAGGGAAGACTGGAAAGCCACCCCTACAACTTCACACCTGCACCAATATTCGCGTGTTAGATTAAATAATATATTCAATAATTATAGAAGGAAAACATTTTGTCAAGGAAATATGACATCTTCCTTTTAGTCCGGTGTAACAGGAATGGAGGTCCGGGCGCCATATGATTAGTACAAGTTGGGGCTAGTTGGGAGTGTTGGGGATAGTATACATGTATTGGACGAATGCCACCTGTACAAAGAAATGTAAGCGGACTACGGTTCCTCGCGGACTTCCTTTCCTGTTACACTTGAATCAGTAAATGCTGAGAGTTATTCTATTACTCATTTTCATGCACACTACTTTTTTCATAAGCAATTAGGCATAGCCTTTTTTACTTCAATTTTTTTAAATTTTACCGGCATCTATGACTTAAGAGTTATCGTTTTTTTAATAATATATCAACGTATAGGCCTACGATATGACCTACATATAGCAAATTGCATGATACATCAATAATAATCGTTCTGATAAGTAAATACTGGTAACTTCTTCTTCGTGATTAAATACAATAAATAATAAAACGCTTTAACAGAATTAAAACTATCCCAATTTCCAAACAGGTGCTCATCACAATAAGTTATATATAGCATAGAAGAAGATCGATAAAAGAATACCATTATTTATGTTCATGCTTCGTAAACAAAACCAAATATTATAAAATATTAACTTTTTTATGATATTATTTTTTTATTTCAATCAGCACAGACTACACGGAAGTTCCGTGATCTTGTTTTCCTTGGTAATGGGCTACATGAGCCGAAAGGTTACTCCACAGAATAAATGAAAATGATGTAGGAGAGAGAGAGAGAGAGAGAGAGAGAGAGAGAGAGGGAGGGCAGAATGTGACTTTAAGGTAATATTGAATTGAAGAAAATGAACAGTGATAATACAATGTACCATTAGTATTAAGTATTGATCCCCCCTCTCTCACACACACTGTCTCTCACACGCACACAAACACACACACACACACACACACACACACACACAAATGAAACGGGGAAAAAACATTATTTTGCTTAACGTATTGTTCACCCCCTTAATACCCCCCAAACGTTCAAAAAAACGAATGTTGATTTTTCCTGTATACAAATTACAATGTACCACAAGCACGCTGAGGATGTTTATATAAATTGTAATTACTCGCGTCAACATACGACAAAAACGAGAGTACATTGTACAAGTATTACCGCTCTTTGAATCGAAGACCCGCTTTACAGTTGAAACTCAGCTTCTGTTACAATATGTGGCATAAACTAACCCAGAATGAGTTTAAAGTAACTAGTATTCAAAACGTCTCGCCCGAGTTGTCAAATGTGCGCATTATGGCGCAATAATAGCGCATTCTCCCCGCCATTCTTTTATCATTAACCCAGTAATTTATGTCATGAGTTCTCTTTACTATCGACACTAGCACTAGAACGGGACAAAGTAGGTTTAGAAATATCATGAACAAGAACGCTCGTGTTTGTGTGGTCAGACGCGGAGCTGATACAGCCCAATTTGGTCCAGAATGACGTGGCTAGTCTGCCGTTTTATTTCACCGATGATTCAGTAATACCTGGGGTTCGATGCCGACCTGAGATCTCTAAATGTTTGGGTTTTAGACTAACAAATAGTTGGTGCACGCACTTAGTTAGGCTCCTAGTACTATTTATAGCTTACCCCGGGCAAGTTTATCTCTATCCGAACGAATCTCACGTTTTACTGGATTGTAAAGACGGACAGCGTGAGCGATTGGGAATTGACAAAAAGCGGCGATGCAGAGGAACCTAACGAGATAATTGCAATATTTACCGGCTTCGCGATTTTAGATCATCAACTGCAGCATCCTCTCCGGGTGATGTAGTGCGCATGCCCGTGTCAAGAACGCATATCCTTACCTCTGTGGATTGTGAACAACCACACATACACTGCGCACTGCGGACGTCATTGATAACTTGACACTATATTTAAAATAATCACACCCAGGTGTAGCTGCTAAAGACGACAATAGGAATATTCTGGAGGTGTTGATGAAATCAGCGCATAAAATAGTTCAGCCGGCCGTGACGAATGGATTTTACGTTATTAAGCTCCGTTTTTATAGCGGTGACGACGCTGCTTGCCCTGACGACGCACGTGTCTGCTGGTAAGTAGAGAATCACTGGTTATTTTTTTAACTCGAGCTCATTGTTAATTTCTACATTTTTCTCTACATATCTGTGTGGAGAATCTGTATGCCTTTTGTTTTTTGTATATGCTTAAGCACGTGCTATCATATTGATAACAGACGTAAAAATGAATACTAGTACATGTGTATATATACTAGTATATGGACGTGTGTGTCTTGCATTATGTTATGGTCTTCCACGTGAATGAGACTGAAGAATGGATGCCAAAACAGGAAAATCGGGGACAATTTTTCACAAAAGTTTGAATCAGGATGTACTATACAAAACGTGCCTATGTGTCATATGGAATTATTTCTTTACACTTTGTTCTTATTTTGAGTTAAGAAACGAGGATATCTCATTAAATGATCTCCATTTGGAGAGTGAAGTGTTGTTAGTGCCCTAACAACATTGTGCAATGACCATGCATTTAAAACAGGTATCGCGTGTGAATTATAGCACATTTAATTAGGTGCTTTATTAACGTGGGTGCTTTCAGTTCTCAACTGAGATGCACACATTGAAATAATGAACAACTAAAATATTTATTTTCATTATAGCAATACTATTTAAGTTACCAATATAAAACTTTGCACGCTCTATTCCAACTACCTGTAGGTTTAGCTAAGATAAATTAATAGCTGAACCTGCTATCAGTAATATTCTATGGATCATTTATAATTTCCCGTCGTAGCATATCGAATTCCATAATTCGTATTATCTAGTTTTTTCGAAAGGCATTCTTTTTTTCTTGCTTTTTGTTCCTGAACAACAGGAAGGGAGTCGTGTGTTTTAACATGTCAATAGAAAGTTACATTGCGTTTTATTCACATTGTATTCCCTTACGTAAAAGCAACCAAGACATTTCACGTGTGGATAAACATTAAAAAAGAAACTGCAAGCACACATTTATCTTCTTCTTCTCGTCCCTATTATGACCTTACCAAGCTCTGTCAAGTTAAGCGGCTAAACATGAAGATTTAACCCTAAAAAATTGTCTGATTTATACCATGTGTGGAGGGGATTTGAACTAGGGGGATGTTGTCCCCGGAGGTGTGGGTCAGGGGTGGGTGGGTGGGTGTGGGGGTAAATGTCCGTGGGGGTGAAGAGGGGTGTTTAGCTCTGAAGGAATGCTTCCCTGTATCAGTCTCACGGCGAGAATTTTTTTAACTAGACATTCACTTATTTTTTTCTGGTTAATCTGAACACATTTCTATGCTGTTTCGCGGGAATTTTTGTAAATAAAAATAAAGACTTCCTAACCCAGCTGGCCTCTGGTACAGAGTGCATGCACTCAGACCATCATTTGTCACCATAGCAACATTCTCCTGACCCGACGTGACCTGGCGCACAGCGTACTGTAGGTGATATCAGCACCATTTATCGACGTCACTACACACAATGAGTCTCATTTAAAATTTAAAGAAATCGTAAATGAGGACATCGTTTTGTACACTTATGTTTACCACTAAGTTTTAAGTGCACAGCAGAAGTCCAGTTACATGTATGCATATTGATGCAGTCGAGGAGGGTTTTTTGTTTAGATAATGTTTTGCTATACTATTTCACACATTCAGATGGGAAATCAAGCGACAAAACAATTTGCTCAGCTTCCATATGTAACAATATGATGGCAGCTGTTTATATGTTAGATTTAGTTAAAGGCACGATGCACAGAAAAATTAAGGAAAAGCACCTGGAATGCTGGTAGGCTGTCTAAACAACACGGATGTTATGTCAATACTCGTTAAGTTTCAGTAAACACGAGGAAATTAACGAAATGGATACATGTACGATCTCATTTAGAGTGTGCATACATGTAGCATACATGTAGGTCTCATCCAATGAATGTAGAATATAGTGCACAAAGAAGCAGATGCGTGCAATCACACGTGATGACATGCGCTTAAACATTCACGAATTCACATGCACAAAGATAAACAACATTTACAGACTCGCGCGTGCTCCCACACGCACACACACACAGGCTACCAAACCTTACCCTCTACCAGGGCGACTGATAGATTTTTACGGATATTTTGACTTCAGTTAAAAATGACAATCTATCTAGCTAGAGACATATCTGTGAATATCCGTAAAAATCTATCAGTCACCCTGGTAGAGGGTAACCAAACCTTATGTTCAAGATTGTTTGATGAAATTTTCCACCTTGTTTTATGATGAAATAGGATTGTTCCTGTATAGACAAAACTGAAGACATACATTTAATTAATGCCAAAAAGTCGGTACGTACGTGAGCATTACAATAAAAACAAATGGAAATTAACGGCATTTCCCTCGTAATAGTGCGCAATGAAAAAGCAACTGCCAGCCGCCACAATCGGAAAACTTGAAACGTTTTTCGTGTTTCTAAAATAATTATCTTCAGAGTGATGCAATTGTGATAGCAAAATTATCATTTATCTCGATACCATTGATTAATACAGTGTCTGATCACAGCGGAAATCAACACTTGGGGAAATGAAAATGTAAAAACTTTGCCTTTTTAGTGTTATTAAAGCAATTGCCCGATGATTCACCTAATAATGCAATTGGATTTTCGGCAGCTTGTCAGAGGGGCTGGCGATATGATATAACAGCAATATCCCGTCGGACCAAATTGCTCTTATTCGCACCTTCAACCGAGCAAATGCAGTTTTCAGTGTTGCTTTCTTGTGTTTTAATGCCAACAAAGTTCCTTCGTCTACCGCTGTAGCGCCAGTGACATAAACCCACAATGGTGCCGTGCCCCAACATGACAAACTCACTCACGCACAAAGAAGTAGAGGGACACGCTCGAACGAGCTGGTGCATACACACACACACACAGAAGTACACACACACTCGACTTGTGTAAACGTGTGTGTGTGTGTGTGAGAGAGAGAGAGAGAGAGAGAGAGAGAGAGAGAAACTTAGGTATAAGCGTGCACACACATATATGCACGCATAGTTAAACTCGCATGCAAAAACGCACACTCACATGTACACTAATACAAAACACGTTTGTGAGATATGATTCAAAGAGAAATAAACGAAAGATGTAAATTATACATTGAAATTTCCGATAAAGTTGCAATTACACAATCAGAATTGTTTCTAATTGAGTATATCCTGCTGCAAACACAAATTGCTGTCATATTATTATCACAAACACCCCGGTCTATTTGAATTTACATTCATTTAGAGTCATAGTTTATTTACAGATTTAGCCCTTACTACATGTAGTACTTAAATATACATGTACGTGTAGGGCTGTGTGTGAAAAACACAATGACCTTACATCTCCAAAGCACAAATACACACGTGCAGGTACATTAAATTGCATCGATACAATGGTTTGTATTTTACCTTTTACTTAGTATATTGAACGAATTCATCCAGACACATGCATGCACGCACAGGGAAACAAACACAACCGGGCACGCATACAACATGAATGCACAACCGGGCACGCATACAACGTGCATGAAAATAAGCAGGCATGATACATGTACGAGGAATAACTCTACATATGACGGGAACTCATTTCCCATATAGGTTGTAAATGACATTCATGTTTTCTAATCGTTTCCAACGTAGGTATAAGCAATGGCACAGGCTCGTATGGGACGCTGATCAACTTAAAGAGTGAGTTGTTCAAGACCTACGACAGCAGTAACAGGCCAGTGAAGGACATGGACACGCCAGTCAATGTCAGCATCGATATTAGTATTAACCAACTCATAGAACTGGTGAGTATATAATTAGGGGTTTGGATGGGTGGGGTTTGATTTGTGCTGTTTTCTAACTGACTGATTTACTGACTGATCTACCAAACATATAGTACGCGTACACAAGTATTTTTAAACCTCATATCCCCATCTCCACCCCGATATTACCAGATCGGAAGTGTTTACCCTTTGCGTTCCTTCTGGATCCGACTTGGTATGCATGGCAAAATAGTGTTTGAGGTTTTCTTTCCTTTGACGCACGTCTATCCAAAATTATTTACACTGTAGTAACGGGTCAAGCATTGTGGCCAATCTAATAAAGCGAACTAATAAAAAGACACAGTTTCTGCGTCCCCAGCATTTCAGTTAGCTAGAAATTTGTACAAATTATAAATTCTGTTTAATTTTAATGGGAGAAGGCTGCGGTTCAGAGAACCCTGATAAATGTAACGTGTCTCGGTTTTACCCTCTGTCGTTGAGTTTTCAGTGTCTCCAAACTAATGAGGTGTAGTTGTCTGCAAACGTCAAGAATTAAAAAAAATTGTGGCATGACCTTTTGTTTATGTATATTAATTATATTATGCTTTTTATTTCAGAATGCAGCAGAACAAATTTTGTTCCTCAGTCTCTGGTTAAGACAGGTATGGGAGTGAAATATGCATCGATGTATACAAATGTTAATTACATATTAACTTTTGTCCACTTTTTCCTTTTCCCTTACTTCCATTGGACTGTTAAAATATGCTTTCATACTAGCTTTTCTTCGATATGTGAAAATGACTTTTAGGATGTTTCGACACATTTGTTTTCAATCAAACAATATTTCATATTTTAGCAATGGGTAGACGAGATCCTTACATGGAACCCACTTGAGTACAATAACATCTCTTCCTTTGAGGCGTCAATTGCGTCAATATGGAAACCAGACATTACCATTTATAACGAGTAAGTGGATCCAACATTTGAGACATTAGATTCACATGGAATGATATTTCATTTTTTTAGCAATGGGTGGATGAGATTCTTACATGGAACCCAACTGACTACCATAACATCTCTTCCTTCGAGGTTTCTATTTCGTCAATATGGAAACCCGACGTTACCATTTATAACGAGTAAGTGGGTATATACTGAAGTATATACCATGTGTTGTTTCAGTGTGTTTATATACATGCATGAATTAACACGTAGAGATGTCACTCTAGAATGGTAATAGTATTCCTTAGTGATGCAGCATGTACACAAAATAGGTACATTAATAAAAGATTAGTAAAGATTTACCTCTATTATTTTTTGTCAATAGAAATGCAATTTTTTACGTAGGTGCAATTTAAAATATTTAGCAGCTCGGATTGCATCACCTTTCGTTCGACACTTCAGTGAAGTAGCTTAAACCCTCTTTACACTGGCCGGCGTTCTTTCTGCGTCCTTTGTGCTACCATGAAAGTGGCATCGCTGTGGTCGCAGAATAAATCCCGAGTCTCGTAATTAATAAGTTTTTTTTTACTCTTAAACGGAGCCGTATGTCGGAACGCAGAAAGGACGCCGCCCAGTGTAAAGGGGGCTTTAGATATTTGTCTTCACATTGGCAGCACAAGAACTGCACTTTCAAATCTTTCATTTGAACTGGCTCCAGCGTCCGCGAAGAAGAACGAGACCTATCAGCCTACACTGCCACCGTCACCAGCGAAGGCTTGGTCTCCTGGCGAACTCCTATCATCCTAAAAAGCAGCTGTTTGATGGATATTAACTACTTCCCTTACGACACACAAAGATGCCCCATCAAATTCGGCTCTTGGCACTTCAACGGGTACCAGTTAGACCTGCGGAACATGTCCGAAATGGGTGACATGAAATCCTTTGTGACCAACGGGGAATGGCGTCTTGCCAAGGTACCCGTCATGAGGACCGTGAAGTACTACAGCTGCTGCCCAGAGCCCTACCCAGATGTGACCTTTTATCTGATTGTTTGCCGAAAACCCCTGTTCTATATCTTCAACCTTGTACTGCCGTGTATCGTGGTTCTTGCCATGGCCGCCATAAGTTTCTATCTACCGGTGGAGTCTGGGGAGAAAGTGTCCTTTGGTGTGACGGCCGTCTTGGCTCTGATGGTGTTCCTGCAGCTGGTCTCCGATTTGACACCTACGCAGTCTGAGGTGGTCCCCGTTTTGAGTAAGACCGTTCATTTTAACCCTATACATATCTTATAATTAGTCTGTGTCAGTTGGAAGCTGCAATTTATCTATGATTCTCCATGCTTGTGGTCTCCATCTCCGTGTAACACATTTAGTTTTTTTCCTCAACGCTCCCACCATGAAAATAACTGCGCTATAGGCATGCAGTGTCCACTTTTCCAAGATTTTTTTCGTTGTTTGTCTGGCTGTAGCACTTTTCATTCATACATTTCTACTTTCTTCATTCATTTTAATTGCTTTTTAATTTAAATAATTGCATCCATACTTTTATTTATTTATTTATTTAGGTGTTTACCTCGTGACGGTGCTGGTGTTGCTCTGTATCTCAACCATCACTAGTATCATGGTCACCAACATCCACTTCAGGGGTGAGCGTGGCCAGAGCGTGCCCTACTGGATGCAGAAGGTGTTTTTAGGATTTGTTGCCACCGTTATTGGAAAGAAAAAGACGGTAAAGGAGGCGCTTCGAGGAAAGGAACCGGAGGTGAATTGTTTTAGTTTTTGGAATGCATGGACTTACTGTCCACATTGCCACTTGCAGAAGTGGATGACAACTGTCAGAAAAGTGGGATTTATATTTAAGGGCTGCAAAGCGTTAAAAACATTAACATAAATTATCATTTAAAGCCCAAGCTATATTTAATCGCGACACTTTACATAGAAAAAAACAACAATAATAATAATAACATATTTTAAAACCAAAAGATATGAAACCATATAGTTGAGACATGAAATTAAAGGGCTAATAAAAACAGCTTTTATTGTTTTACTCAAAATAGAACGTCAACTACATGTATAAAAATTCTTTAAGATATACTTTATGGTTCTTTTTAAAATGTGGCTCTTGGTTTGGTCTTTTTTTTTCTTCATAAAACACGTATGACCTAATTTTCCTTATAATAACATAAAACATATGAGATGTCCTTAGCAAGCGAAATCCCTTCATCGGGGGCAAACGTATTGTGCATCCCGTTAACATGGCAAACGTTGGTCATTTTAGGACCACCATCATAGTTGGGAACGAGGAGCCAACGTGACTGCGGTGAAGTATCAAAAGAAAAGCAAAAACGGGTTGAACGGCCACAATACTCAGGACAGAAGCGATCTTAGCCTTCCCGAGGACGATTCCAATGATCACGAAAACCTCTTAAAGAGCACACAACTGCTAAAGGACATACTGCGCACGCTTCAGGGCGGCGATGAAGACGGGCAGAAGCAAAAGGAAGACGAGTGCTCCAAGACCCAATGGCAACTGATCGCTTACGTCATTGACAGACTGGTCTTTGGTACTTACGTGATCGTCACCGTGATTGCCACTGTACTGTTCTTTACGTTGACTCCTGCCTGTCATGAAGATATCGACGATCTGCGGTTAGAGTCTGTGTATAGCTCGTGAGACTTTCAACTGCCTCAGTTTACACACTACGTCTTGTTCACAGTTATTGAAAGTTTGCGGTTAGCCCGCAATTGTCATTTTTGGTGGTGATAAACTTTCCGAGATTTGTATGTTATTTAATTTTATTAATTGCAGTGATATTCAAGCATCCAAGGCCTGGTGCCTTGTAAGGCGTTCGACCAACATGCTTTTTCCATTACACACAATTGCACAATTGCCCTGGAAGATGGGGGCTATTTCCGGGTAATAAGGATCGTCGTAAGTGCGTCTAACTTTAAATGAAATGACGTAAACGCGCAAGTCAGTTGCGCTTCTTTTATGGACTAAGATCACTTTTATCAATTTTTATTGTGATGCCATATTGACAGTAGAAGACGGAAACTGTTGAGCAACACATTGATTCCGCGTGGGAGATTAAAGCGAGACCGACTGCGCTGAAAAATACACCAACCAAGTGAGTTGGGATTATTGCAATATAAACTTTTCTTCCATATGGCCGACAGCCCTGACTTTTGAATGGGATTTTATTTGTTTTAGATAAGATTATTTTTTTCCATTTGTAAAGCAGCAGTCAGGAGGTTGTTAGAGCCTGTTTTATTTCTTGAAAACTCTTGTATTGATACGGATTGGGTTGGGTGCTATGTTTTTAAATCTACAGTATTAGGGAAAATGTTGTTTTATGTCTTTATCTTATCATATTATTAAAATATCTAGACACTTTTTATGGACATATCATATAATAAAACAGATACCCTAGCTGAAAAAATGACACTCTTATTTTCAGTGGCTAAATTAAATTAATTAAGGCAAATTAAGTCAAATGAGTCTGCAGGAAAATAATCAGTATTCGTACGTTGTTATCATCTCGTAACCTGGATATAAAGTGTGTTTACCACGGTATTATGAGGATAATCAAAAACGTTTTTTTTTTCCTAATAAATATAAATACCTCATGTTGCCTTAATCTTTATTTGACCAGTGTCCCCAATGTCTCTCTCACCGGTTTAACGATTTAAACCTATCAACATATATATAATTGTCTTCGAAACTATGAAATAAATATGATGTAAATAAAACGGTTACTGTTTATGAAGAATGACGATTATTATCGTATATTGAACCCCTGTGCTGAGTATAAAATTACAGGGTGGACTTAAACTCACGTCCATGCATAATCCCACCTAACCCCTCACAACGTCGGGGTTATTGGGGTTTTTTTTCCGCCCATTGGGAAAAATGAAATGCACTGTTTCCATCAACTTTGACTGCAACGCTCAGAACTCAAATTGCTCGGTCCACATTATAATCTTTTAGGTCTGATCGGAAAATACGTTAGGAAATGAACATGATTTTCAATTTTTGCGAGTGTAAAATATTGCAAGTTTTAAGAATTCTAAAATCCCCAAAGTAATTACTTTTGGGTCCGTTAACTTCATATTCCTTGCTATTATGCCACGATTTGAACACTTGGACTGTTTTTTCTATTAATGCCATGAAATGGCAAGGTAATAAGAGTAGTCAAATTGACGCATCCTCTTGTGACCTTGACTGTTACCATTATATAAATTAAGCAAAGGGACGCTAGGAGAGCACCAGTAGTTAGCACTGCTGAGCAGACGACACATCCCATTCAAAAAGGCCAGGGTGAAATTAGCCTTATTACAATCACAGAAGCCTTTCTTTTGGTACAGAGGGAACACGTTGTGCGGCAAGGACAAAAAGTTTAGAATAAGGACCTTTCCGCTCTTTTACTGGCGACTTACGAAAAAGTGGCCCATTGAGTGAGGTTAACGACCTTCGTATTTCACCAGACACATTGCTCCGGTCGTAGAAATGAGGCACAAGTATTGCTTTGGTTGCAGAATGAATTCACAATGATCGGCCAGTGGTAGGACTTAAAATATTATAATTTTTACTCCCAAACGGGGCCTTTCTAGTGTATTTTTCACCAGAGACAGGACATCTCAGGGTAACAAATACTAGTGGGCTCGTAGCAGCCTCCAATCAATATGTTTTCTAAAATTTTTGAACTGACCTATCTTTGGAGGTAAATACAAAACGAATATTTTGTCTCTTTTTTTTTTTTCAAGATACAGTTCTTGGCGGAGTGTTTGCAAAATGCATCTGTTGAAAACGGATTTTTAAATGGTTAAAAACTTTCTGTTGTGTCAGTCAGCCCTCCTCGTCTAGGGCGCCTTTCCATCCCTTTCAAAAGGACAACAATGATCATCTAGCTTGTTATCAATCCATTCAGACCTTGCATAACTGTAGTTTGAAAAGGAAGTTTAGGCCACACTTTTTTAATTTTATGGATGACATCCTGCGCGCGCACCGATTTTCATCCGTTCTCAAAAAAAAAAAAAAAAAAAAAAATCCCCCCCCCCCCCCAAGGAAGTCGGTTGTCGCAAACGTCGTTATTGGATTTGCCGGAAAATGCAAACGGCAATCCTCGACTAATTCCGCAAGCTCCATGCTGTCATTGTCGACTGCGGAGACATCCGAGTAGTTCCGAGTGCGGAAAATGAGCTTTCTGCGCATGCGTATTATCACCACGTGGAAATATGGCCGCTTTGCCGTCAATTCATCTCTAGCATTAATTTCAAAATACACGACAATTAAAGTCATAAAGAGAACGGGGGCCGTCGTTTTGGATTGGTTTGCCATTGATATTGGACATGGAGATATCACCTTTTTACAATTATACGAAAGGCTGGCCGCAGCCAGCGATCATTGCCCGGAAAATTTCAGTGACATTCTGTCCAAAGCAGCACATA